TTTTTCTTTTTTTTTTTTTCACTTTGACTTAATTAACGGTCTATCATTTATTTGACCCATTTTGTCCATTGTTTTTGAGTGATTAATTTTTGAGTGAATTCATTTAACCATTTGTTGAAGATGGCAATTTTGCTACTTTTCCATGTTGCCCAAGCAGGTGTATCTTTAAATATAATAGTCTTTTCAATTTTTTCTGTCCAATTATTCCACTGATCTTTTTCTGCTTTGGTACGCATTTTCCATATCTCGTAAAGTTCTTTCATTTGTTTAGTTGGTAGACTTTCTTCAACATTGGAGTAAAAAAAAGTATATCTGATCCAGTATTTATCCTCTTTAAGTCTCCAACCTACAGAGCCACATTCTAACATTTTTTGTCTTTTCCATTCATCCCAGTTTAGTTTAAGTAGTTCATCTAAGCTAGCTTGGTGTCCATCCATCCATTTTTTAAAGTCTTCTGTGATATACTTCTTTAAACTCTTTTCAATCCAGTCTTTCCATTGTGCTTCTTTCCACTCTTTTGCTTTTCTTAAAATATTGCTCTTATATTCGATATCCAAGCTTTGATTATAATTTTCCCATTTTTTTTCTGCTGATTCAATCCAGGTTTTTTCTCTATCTCCCATATTTGCAACCCATTTAGCTCTTTCCTCATCTAGCACAGTTTGGAATTGTTTCCAATCATTTTCAGCTTTATTAAGCCACTTAGAAAATTCATTCATTTTCCAGTCAAATGATTTAACTTGCCATTCTTCTACATATACGTTTGGATCTGTTGGCACAGTTTTCTCATCATTCTTTGTTTCCTTAGTAGAAGTGGTTGGTGTTTCTACATTAGGCTTGACAGATGCTGCACTTTTCTTGGCAGCTGCATCTTTAGCTACAGCGGCATTTTTAGTTGCTACTGGTTTGACTTTTTTTGCCTTTTGTTGTGCAGCCTTTAAAATGATTAGGGGAAAGAAGGGAATTGTGGAAAATAAAAATATTATTACTAAATTGTTATGTAATGTAGATTAGGCATATATATAAGTTATATTATATATGTATGGCATATTTATTTATATATACAATTATTTATTGACACTTTTTTTTTTGCTTCCTTACATCACCAAATGAATTGTTTAAAAGGGCTGAGGATAACAAAAGAAGGGTAATTGATATGCTTGAAACCATTTTGAACTTTGTTATTTTTATAATATTATATATAATTCAAATTTGAAGGTAGTTAAAGAAAAAAAAAAAAAAAATTAATAATACTAATATAATAGTAATATTTCTAATTTATTCCATAAAAATAAACTGAAAAAAAAAAATAATAATAATGCTAATCACTAATATTTCTAATTTATTCTGCGAAAATAAACAGAAAAAAAAAAAAAAAATACTAATAATACTAATATTTATAATTTACTGTACAAAAATAAACAGAAAAAAAAAAAAATAAAAAAAAATAATAATAAAAACAACAGTAAAAAGTACGATTTGAAGAATATTAAGGATATTTTTTTTTGCTTCAAAAAATAAAGAAAACTTGTATATTAAACGTTAATAAAACAAGTAGATTAAAATAAATACCAATGTATACTTATTTATCTTAATTAAAAATTGTTTAGCGAATATTTGAAGGAATTTTAAAGTATCACTAATAATTTATTTTATTCAAC